CCGTCCCACCAGCCAGGTGGCCCTGACCAGGTTGGCCTGGGAGCACTGCCCGGCCTGAGAGTTCCTGGCCCCAGTGCTGCCTGCCCCCACAAGTGCCATCCTGGCTTTGGGATCTGGGAATGGCAGCTGAGCCCGGGAAGAGCCCTCATGAGGGAGAGGGGCAAGCGATGGGAGAGGCCAGGAGCCAGGTCTGGTGGAGGAGGGAGAAAGGGGAGGGCAGGGAGGACTCACCAATGAACGCGATGGCCTCAGGAAAGAACTGGGACAAGTTCTGGCTCCAGTGGTCCGAGATGGGAATCTGCTTGTAGTGAAAGTCGCCATTCTTCTCAAAGAGGTTAGGGAGGTTGGGGGTGACATTGAGGATGTAGCGGATGCCTAGCTTGGCCAGGCTCTCCACGTTGGCCGAATCTCGGGCACAACCCAGGTAGAGGTTGGGCAGGATCTGGACCGGGAAGGATGGTATCAGCCCCGATGGGGGGGGCGTGGCACCCTCGGAATCCAGGCTGCAGCTCAGGGAGTCTCGGTCAGGTTCGGATTCCCCGTCGGAGCAGTCAGAGCCCAGGCACAGGTTGCCCAGTCCCACCACTGGACTGGGCACCATGGCCATGCTGGCTCCACCACGGCTACTGAGGCTGCTTTCGCACAGCTGAGGGCACTCAGCCTGGAATCTGCTGAAGCCACCTGGGAGGGAGAGAGGAGGTTTCTGCCGATCTGGTCCTCGATCTGGTCCCCGACCAGGGAACCAGCCCCAGAGAGCCCGACCCCTGAGTTCTCAAAGGGGACTCAGAAGCCAGCAGCCTGTTCTAGATGGGTGTTGCCATGTGGTGCGCTCTGGGCAGCCCAGCCACCCTCACCTCGTGCTGTTGGTTACTTCCTGGACAGCAAGTGCTCACTGTGGCTGTTGGGCCCAGGCTCAGCTATCCCAAAAAGATCTCATACCTCCAGGGCCAAGCCGAGGCTGGCGCGAGGGCTCAGTAGAGTCTAGAGGCGCTGCTAACCTCCGGTGGGGGGGGGGAAGCGGGTGGGGGGACTATGGCCATCAGTTACAGAGAGGAAAGCTTTCCACGTGGGTTCTCTGCCTGGGTGTCTCCCTATCTGGCTCGACCAGGAGTGCCCTGATGGCAGGGGCCAGGTCACAGCCATCTCTGTGCTCTCTTCAGGGGTGAAATGAGACCCCAAGAAGAGAGGAGCCCGGGAGACAGCGGGACATTCCACCTGGATAGTCCCAAAGTCCCAGGAAGTGAGCATTTCCTTGGTCTACAGAGAGCTTCTATGTCCCGGGGCTGGGGCGGGGGCCTGGAAATGCAGCATTCTGTGGATTTCTATATCCCTGTGCATTCTGAAGGGAGCAAGGGAACACACCCCACTGACCCTTTTCCATGGGGAAGTGGGGACAACTGGTTCTGTAGGTTCATAGAAGCCCTGTCCCTAGCCTGGTC